ACGCTGGAAACGTCTTGTTCTGCGAGGGAAGGCGATCAGGAAAGCCGCTCTTAAGAGTGAAAAGGCGATGAGACGTTACACAAGATTGTATGGCTCTGTTGGTAGAATTCGAGAGGTGTACAATTACGCTAGCGATAGCGATCAAGATTGAAAAAGCGGCCTGAGTTGCATCGCTTTCATCCTGTGCCTAGGGCGTGCATCCCATGCATGGGGTGCAAGGGGTTCGATCGCCACCCCCGGCGATCGAGGGGGCAGGGGATAGACGCGATGCAACTACCCGCGCAAACGACGAATTGAAGATATAGTCCACGCAAGCTCATTTTGTACATATCTATTCCTAGCGCTTGATTACACCAGTTTCTGGTGCCAGGCAAGGAGTTTGATATGGATTGTGCTTGCTTGCATCACATGTATTCGATGCCGCCTTACCCATACCTAGCAACTGACTATGGTACTCAGCTTTCTCTCTTCACTCACCACACTTGGATTGGAGGCTTCTGTATTGTTGGAGCAGGCGCCCATGCAGCCATCTTTATGGTTCGCGATTATGACCCAACCAATAACTACAACAACCTGCTTGATCGCGTCATTCGGCACCGTGATGCGATTATCTCTCACCTGAACTGGGTTTGCATCTTCTTGGGATTCCACAGCTTTGGTCTCTACATCCACAATGACACGATGAGTGCTTTGGGTCGCCCTCAGGACATGTTCTCTGACACCGCGATTCAGCTGCAGCCCGTGTTTGCACAATGGATACAAAACACACATGTGTCAGCGCCTCAGTTCACAGCGCCCAATGCATTAGCACCTACGAGCCCGATTTGGGGTGGCGATGTGGTAGCGGTTGGTGGTAAAGTGGCGGCAATGCCTATGACCTTGGGAACTGCGGACTTTATGGTTCACCATATCCATGCATTCACTATCCATGTCACAGTTTTGATCCTGCTTAAGGGTGTACTTTATGCCCGCAGCTCTCGTCTTATCCCAGACAAGGCAAATCTAGGTTTCCGATTCCCATGTGACGGCCCGGGACGTGGGGGCACATGCCAGGTTTCTGCATGGGACCACGTATTCCTAGGACTATTCTGGATGTACAACGCGTTATCAATAGCGATCTTCCACTTCAGCTGGAAAATGCAATCTGATGTTTGGGGAACAGTTAACAGCACGGGCGTGTCTCACATTACTGGGGGCAACTTTGCACAGAGCGCAAACACGATTAATGGGTGGCTACGAGATTTCTTGTGGGCACAATCTTCGCAGGTAATCCAGTCATATGGGTCTGCCTTGTCAGCATATGGATTGATCTTCTTGGGAGCACACTTTGTTTGGGCATTTAGCCTTATGTTCCTTTTTAGCGGCCGCGGCTACTGGCAAGAACTTATTGAATCTATTGTGTGGGCTCACAACAAATTGAAGGTTGCTCCTTCTATCCAGCCGCGTGCGCTTAGCATTACCCAGGGCCGCGCAGTTGGAGTAGCTCATTACCTTCTTGGTGGGATTGCGACTACTTGGTCGTTCTTCTTAGCGAGGATTATTGCTGTCGGATAGGCTTTACAGCATCTCAAGCTCGCTGATGCGAAAAGAGGCGGGTTGGCCACGCTGGCCAACAGTGATGGGGGAGGGTCCCTCCCCCAACCACAGCCCCCATCCCCACGAACCCCACGGCCCCACAGCCTTGGGGGGGGTTTCCCCCCCCCCTTCACCTGTGAGGCCTGTGAGTTGAGGGAGGGGGACTCGATGGGATGGGGGCAGGGGCGTGGGGGAGGTTCCTTCCCCCAACCACAACCCGTGCATCCCTTGCACCCCTTTAGGGGTGCATGGGATGCAAGGCCGTGCATCCCGAAGGGATGCAAGAGGGGGGAGGTTCCCTCCCCCAACCACAGCCCTTGCATCCCTTGCATCCCATGCACCCCTAAAAGGGTGCATGGGATGCATGGGATGCAAGGGATACAAGAGGGTACCTTTCCCATCTACCGGTTAACTGCCTCTTCTCAGCGTTGCTTATGGGCCATTTACATCTACAGACGGAGAATTTACAAACAGTTATGGCAACAAAGTTCCCAAAATTTAGCCAGGGTCTGGCAAAAGACCCGACTACCCGTCGAATTTGGTATGGGATTGCCACTGCTCATGACTTTGAGAGTCATGACAACATCACCGAAGAGAGTCTGTATCAAAAGATCTTTGCCTCTCACTTCGGCCAATTGGCAATCATTTTCCTATGGACTTCGGGCAACCTGTTCCACGTAGCGTGGCAGGGCAATTTTCCACAATGGGTTCAAGACCCTTTGCATGTTAGACCGATCGCGCACGCAATCTGGGATCCCCACTTCGGCCAACCGGCAGTAGAGGCATTTACTCGTGGTGGTGCCCAGGGGCCAGTTAACATTGCGACCTCAGGGGTGTACCAATGGTGGTACACAATCGGGATGCGCACCAATCAGGACCTGTTCCAAGGATCAGTTTTCCTTACGATTCTGTCAGGATTGTTCCTTTTTGCCGGATGGCTTCACCTTCAACCAAGGTTTCAGCCTGCATTGGCCTGGTTTAAAAACGCAGAATCGCGACTAAACCATCACCTTTCAGGATTGTTTGGTGTGAGCTCATTGGCTTGGACTGGGCATTTGGTGCACGTTGCCATCCCGGAAGCACGAGGACAGCACGTTCGATGGGACAATTTCCTTACCACATTGCCACATCCTCAAGGGCTTGCTCCATTCTTCTCAGGTAACTGGGCTGTATATGCCCAAAACCCAGACTCCTCAGCTCATCTCTTTGGAACGTCAGAAGGGGCCGGCACTGCAATACTAACTTTCTTGGGTGGATTTCATCCACAAACACAGAGCCTTTGGTTAACCGACATTGCTCACCACCACTTAGCTATTGCAGTAGTCTTTATCCTTGCTGGTCACATGTACCGAACCAACTTCGGGATTGGTCATACAATGCAAGAGATTTTAGATGCTCACACACCACCAGGCGGTGGACTTGGTGCTGGTCACAAGGGTCTGTTTGATACAGTTAACAACTCGCTTCATTTCCAATTGGGGTTGGCATTGGCTAGTGTTGGAACAATCACCTCACTGGTAGCACAACACATGTACTCGCTCCCTCCGTATGCATTTTTAGCGCAAGATTTCACTACACAGGCTTCTCTCTACACACACCATCAATACATTGCTGGTTTCATACTTTGTGGGGCGTTTGCTCATGGTGCGATCTTCTTTGTTCGGGATTATGATCCAGAGCAAAATAAGGGCAACGTGTTAGCACGGATTTTAGACCATAAGGAGGCAGTGATTTCCCACCTAAGTTGGGTCAGCTTGTTCTTGGGCTTCCACACGCTTGGACTTTACGTGCACAATGACGTTATGCAAGCCTTCGGCACTCCTGAGAAGCAGATATTGATTGAGCCTGTTTTTGCTCAATGGATCCAGGCCGCACAAGGGAAAACTCTCTATGGATTTGATCTGTTGCTTTCGCAGTCTAATAGCCCAGCTTTTTCTGCAGGTCAAACATTGTGGCTGCCAGGTTGGCTCGACGCAATTAACAGCAACAACAACTCATTGTTCCTAACCATTGGGCCAGGAGACTTCCTTGTTCACCATGCTATCGCGCTTGGTTTGCACACCACTACCCTTATTCTTGTTAAAGGCGCTTTAGATGCCCGAGGATCTAAGCTTATGCCGGATAAGAAGGACTTCGGTTATAGCTTCCCTTGCGACGGACCAGGACGAGGTGGTACATGTGACATCTCTGCATGGGACGCATTCTATTTGGCAGTTTTCTGGATGCTAAACACTATTGGATGGGTGACCTTCTATTTCCACTGGAAACATTTGGGAATTTGGCAGGGCAACGTCAACCAATTTAACGAGTCTTCTACATATCTAATGGGATGGCTTAGAGACTACCTGTGGCTTAACTCGTCACAGCTCATCAACGGCTACAACCCGTTCGGTATGAATAGCTTGTCAGTTTGGGCATGGATGTTCTTGTTTGGGCACTTGATCTACGCTACTGGTTTCATGTTCTTGATTTCGTGGCGTGGTTACTGGCAAGAATTGATCGAAACACTCGCCTGGGCTCATGAGAGAACGCCGTTGGCCAATCTAGTACGCTGGAGAGACAAACCAGTTGCACTATCAATTGTTCAAGCACGATTGGTTGGATTAGCCCATTTCTCAGCGGGGTACATCTTAACCTATGCCGCGTTCCTTATTGCTTCAACGTCCGGCAAGTTTGGATAAGCACCTCTTAATCCGATATCGCGGGTGATGAGACAGGCGCCGACTCCGTAGCTTAGCTATACGTCGGCTGCCCCTTCGATAGCCAGGCCTCACAGGTGTTCGGCTGTAGGAGCCGTGGGGTTCATGGGGATGGGGGCAGGGGCGTGGGGTTCGATAGGATGGGCAACCCATGCAAAGCAACTGCCCCTAACCCAGTCGGACGGATTGTGGTGGCCCGTGTCCCCATCCCAACGAACCCCCTCATGGCCCTAGCCTCACAGTTGTCCAACGGAACACAGAACAACTGTAAGGCTTTACAGGCCTGTACCTTACGAAGCCTAACGTGCTCCGTTATTCACTACAACAGGTCGTTACTAATTTAATAAAATTGGGGCTCGGAATAACGTGATTTAAAGTGCCCAACGACGAATTCCAGAATATGTTTTTCGAAGTTGGACGCGTAGTTAGTTGATCCAAAATATGCTGAGTATCAGGCTACGAAAAAAAACGACATTAGAAGCCTGTTACTTGAAAAGCACAGTGACATAGTGTACTGTTTAAAATACCTTCCCTGTGCCTAAAAATAGGCGTCGCTAAGAAAGATGGTGACTATCTATTAGATGTGCCTTCTTTCGATGTTAAAGTCAATGTTCAATAGTCTGGTTTCCAGACTAGTTGCCAACCAAGCCTTTAAATCGTTTAATGCAGAATATTTGACAAGACTGCCGGGATTTGGTTATATAGTACATGTTGTTAAGAATCAAAGAGGTTGTAGTTCAATGGTCAGAGCACCGGCCTGTCACGCTGGAAGTTGCGGGTTCAAGTCCCGTCAATCTCGAATTGGTTATATTAAATTTGCATTAATCGCTTAGTTGGGGACAAAGCCGCCGGAACTAGCTAAACTATGGCTGTGAATAAGCCGAGATGAATATGAGTGTAAAAGAGATGAGATGGCCGTCAACTAGCGATGTGAGTCGTTACGCTTTGTAAATTTTCGGTATCGTTGGCCTCTGGTGTGTTGTATAGTTCCGTCCCCCCTCGCATGCCGGGGCTCGGTGGGATTGGGACGTTGCTTTGCATGGGTTGGGGGGTTCGATGGGCTGGGGGTTCGATGGCCACCCCCGGCCATCGAGGGGGCAGGGGCGTGGGGTTCGATGGCCACCCCCGGCCGTGCATCCCGAAGGGATGCAAGAGGGGGGAGGTTCCCTCCCCTACCCACAGCCCACGGCCATCGAACTCGTTCAACGAGTTGGGGGCAGAGACGTGGGGGAGGGAATTTCCCCGAACCACAGCCGAACCCGTTCAGCGAAACCCCGAACCCGCTCAGTAAAAACCCCGAACCCCTGAGAGGCCTCTGTGAGGCTAATATCCTACAACTCTTTAACTCGCATTAGATTTCACGAGAGAGGTCCAGCCCAAGCTCTGAAGTGATTGATTCCTCCGTAAAGGGCGTGTTACCAGTTCTAAGATATCTCTAGAATTAGTAAATCCATGAATCTGCGCAAATGTGAACTCTACTGACCACTTCGTGCTAATGCCACGAGCCTCCAACGGATTTGCATGAGCCATCCCTGTAATAGCTAAATCAGGCTGAAGCTCTCGAATACGTTGGATCTGGTGATAGTTGTCTGGTTTTTCCACAATTCGAGGTAGCGGAACATTCATTTCATGACACGTTTTCTCAAGTAACTCCAACTCAGCTGCTTGGAAACGCTTATCCATGTATGGGATACCAATCTCGTAGACCAACATTCCACATCGAATCAAGAACCGTGCTAAAGAGACTTCAAGAAGGTTGTCACCCATAAAGAAGACAGATTTGCCCCGCACAAGCTCAAGATAATCTTCTAGCCCCGCCCAAATAGCTGCCTCCCTCTCGTCAAGTCCTTGTGGTTGAATGTTAAAGACTGAACAGATCTTTTCAATCCAAGCTCTTGTGCCATCTGGCCCAATAGGGAAGGGAGCTCCGATTAGCTTGCACCGTCGACGCCGCATAAGCGTGGTTGCGGTACGGCTCAAGAAAGGATTTACTCCACAGACATGGACCCCTTCGCCTAAAGCTGGCAGATCTATGTATCGCTGTGCTGGAAGCCATCCAGCGACGGAGATGCCCTGATTCTTTAGTTCCAGAGTTAGCTGAGTAGCCACTGTACTTGGAAGCGACCCAAAGAGAACGAGTGGGGGCTGATTCGACTGAGAAACTTCCTCCCGGGAAGGAGACAGGCCTCCCAAGGGTTCGGCTGTGGGGGAGGTTCCCTCCCCCAAGCGCTGAACAGGTTCGTTGGCCACCCCCGGCCGTGCATCTCTTCGGGATGCAAGAAGGGGCGTGCTCGGCTTGGTAAGTCTAAGCAAATTCTCAACAATGCTGTTTTCTGCTCGTGGCTCCAAGCGGCCTGCCTTCTCTAAACTTGGGCAACGATGTGCCATAGCGGCTAAAACAGTGTCTTCGCCCTGAGTAAACGCATAGTCTAACCCATTTGCCCTAGCAACCACAATGGGAATGCCAATTTCAGCTTCCAATTGAGGGGCCATGCCCTCAAGGTCCATTTTAATTATTTCAGTGGTGCAGGTACCAATCCAAACAATTACGCTTGGATTCCTATCTTGCTTTATTTGTAAACAAAGCCTCTTCAACTCCTTGTAGTCATTGAGCTGAGCTGATATGTCACCTTCTTCTAATTCAGCCATGGCGTACCTAGGCTCAGCAAATATCATTACCCCGAGGGCATTCTGCAAGAAATACCCGCAGGTCTTGGTCCCTACAACCAAAAAGAAGCTGTCCTCGATTTTTTGATACAGCCAGGCAACACAGCTAATAGGACAAAATGTGTGATAATTCCCCGTTTCGCATTCAAATGTTAGGGGTTCAGCGAGTGCAGTGGACATATGGTTTATCTTTGTTTCTCCTTAGTCTTTCTCCTGACGGCCTCTATACCCGAACAACGCAACTTCGTTCACCGAAACAACCTCGCTGTCTTAAAGCTCGAAGGCGCTCCCCCTCTTGCATCCCATGCATCCCTTGCATCCCTTGATCCCTTCGGGATGCATGGGATGCAAGAGGGGGAGACCGCACCTGTCTACGTCGATAAGACAAGTTGGCCTGCTGGTTACAGGTGCATTTATAGTGCGCGTCGACTTTATCAAGCAGTGGTAGGCTCTTCGGATTCGTATGGAAGCCGTTTATATCATCATGAAATCAAGCCCCTCTACAGCTGATGTGGCCGGCGTACTCTGCGGATTCAAATAGAAGTCCGACAACAAGCTGAAAAGTTCACGGTCAGCCAGCTCCTGAGACACGACACCCTCTGGCTGGGATAGCAGTTGATCCGCAATGTTAAGGTAGAAATCGCATACATAACAGAGCTGGGGCTCAGATTCCGCCATCTCAAAAAGAGTTTTTCCCTTTACTCGCGAAACACGGATGTCTTCAATTAATGGTAAAACTTCGAGAACTGGCATTGGGCAGGCTTCCACATATTTGTCAATAAGATCTCGTTTCGATGTTCGATTTCCAACCAAGCCAGCTATACGCAACGGGTGGGTTCGAGCTTTCTCGCGCACAGACGCAACAATCCTATTTGCTGCAAACAACGCGTCAAACCCATTGTCAGTAATAATGATGCAGTAATCTGCATAATTGAGAGGGGCAGCAAATCCACCACAGACAACATCTCCAAGGACATCAAACAGTATGATGTCATACTCGTAGAAGGCGTTTAATTCCTTCAGCAGCTTCACCGTCTCACCAACAACGTACCCACCACATCCGGCACCTGCGGGTGGACCACCGGCTTCTACACAGTCAACACCCCCGTATCCTTGATAAATAACGTCTTCTGGCCAAACATCCTCGTAGTGATAGTCTTTTGATTGTAAGGTATCAATTATAGTAGGAATCAGGAAGCCAGTCAGCGTAAAAGTGCTATCATGCTTTGGATCACAACCAATTTGCAAGACCTTCCGTCCTCTTCTTGCTAAGGCAATAGAAATATTGCAACTGGTTGTGGATTTCCCAATTCCGCCCTTTCCATAAACAGCTAATTTCATCTCTTCGTCTCCGTCGTTAAATTTGTTGGAAGGGTATCTCTCGTAAAAAGACCGTTACCTCTTAGGACCTTTCTTAAAGCCATATTCTTATTCTACAAGTTTATTTTTTGTGTAAAAGTAATTAGTTGTACAACACAATACAGAGTAGTAATTACACGACCTTGAGAACCTATAATGCGGGAACAATGCATTGTGTCTGTTGAGTGAGGTTATTCCTATGGTTCCTGGAATGACATTGTAGTATTTGTATTAACTAGATGGAGATTGCTTAATGGTTTAAGAGCCCCTCGCACCAAGGGGGCAGTAGCCCGGATCGGACCAGAAGTGTGAGAGTGCATTCGCTGGAACGCCCAAGCCCGTTTCGAACAGATGGGGTTCGTTGGGATGGGGGTTCGATGGCCACCCCCGGCCATCGAGGGGGCAGGGGCGTGGGGTTCGATGGCCGTGCATCCCTTGCACCCCTTTAGGGGTGCATGGGATGCAAGAGGGGGGAGGTCCCCTCCCCCAACCACAACCCGTCTAATTGGGTTAGGGGTAGTTACTTTGCATGGGTTGGAGGAGAGACCCCTACCCCACCCCCTAGATGAGCGGGGGCTGTGGGGCCCCTTCTCTATCCCAACGAACTCGTTCAGCGAGTTGGGGGTGAGGTCCCCCACACCCGAATCCGTCCAGCGCTTGGGGGAGGTTCCCTCCCCCACAGCCGAACCCCTCGGAGGCTTGGGAAGCCTCTGTGAGGCCAAGGCCCCTACAGCCGAACACCTGTGAGGCTAGGTCATCGAGGCCGTCCAAAGGAGCGTCGAACCCGTCCAACAAAACGCCGCATCGCACCGCTATAAGGCTTGCGAGACTTAGGCTTCTACTAAACTTATTAATCTCTTATAAAAATCTGTTGGGCTGATTAGTAAGGCCCCCTAGTGCCGTGTTACGCGGTGATATGTTGCCCTTTTACGATCGCATCTGAAAAGATTTGCAAAAGAAATCGCAATGAAGTGACTGAGTCATCATTTGCCGGAACAAAGAGATCTGCAACAGTAGGGTCACAGTTGGTGTCTAAAATGGTAATGCTACGGATGCCGAGTTTTCGACATTCCCGCACGGCATTCATTTCCTCAGGTTGCCCGACAATTACTACAACATCCGGTAATCGCATCATGTCTTTTACGCCGCCCAGATACTTCTCCAGCCGTTCCTTTTGCTTCTTGCATAGGGCCGCCTCTTTCTTTGGAAGCCTGTCAAGCCCACCATCCCGTTCTCGAGCCTCGAGCTCCTTTAACTTAGCTATAGACAATTTCATTGTGTTCCAATTCGTCAGCATTCCCCCTAACCATCGCTGGTTAACGTAAAATGAATTGCTGTCAGAAGCAGTCTTCGCGATCAATCCAGCGACTTGCTTCTTTGTGCCCACAAACAAGAATGTCTTGCCTTGTGAGGCCGATTCGGTTAAGAAGCTAACCACCTGCTTAATGTGCACACAAGTTTGTATTAAATCAATAATGTGGACCCCATTCCGTTTAGTGTAAATGTAGGGTGCCATTTTGGGATTCCATTTCCGGGCTTGATGCCCAAAATGAAGGCCCATTTCGACCATTTCGTCAATAGTAACTGCCACAGAAGGATCTCCTTATTCCAATTTGTAAAGGTCATTGACACTGATTAGCTCAATCGTTGACGATAAGGCTCTTCGATCTAATCAAAAGCATTTCTTGCCCATCAAAACCACTACTTGCATTGTTCATTTAGATGAGAAATCGTATCTCCCCCCTCATTAGCTAATGAGGAGGGGATAGAGCA